GGGTTCAGAATGGGGCCGGGGGAGAGAATTCCAGCGTATGCTTGCTTTTTCCCGACTTTTGGTTTCGTTTCCTGATCCCACAACCCTATGCACGAAATGGATAAGATGAGCAACAGGGTACCTAAGTAGGGGACGGATGGAAAGAAAACGGGCACGACGGGGGGAAAAGCTGGGTTGTGGGAGCCTCCCTAAACCGAGACAACAAAAAAGAGATGAAGATCGAAGTGAAGATCTTGTGATGGAACTGGTTAGAGCCTCGTCGGCGCAGCTTTTTTGTCTTGGATTCTTTATAGGGTTGGGTATCTTTGCGTATCTAAGGTACGTTGTTCCTAATTTCAGACAATCAGCTCCCAAGACGTTTTGTTTCTGAAGCCGCATTCGGGATTGACCTGCCTATCGCGGTATGGAGGGCGATGGGTGGTTGTCGACCTCGACTCCATTTTGGGATATGAGATGTGCAACAGGGAGGCTTCAGTCCGAAGGGCCTAGCGTTTTGCAATTGAATAGTCAGGGCACGTCAGGGTAGGCAAGCACGGCAAGTGAGGATAGGGCTGAGAAAGTTGTGGGCTTCTTTGTGTGCTTGAGTAAGCGTTGCCATAACGTCTTTTCTTTTCCCGCCATCTCTCTTGCCTGACTCTGGACTAGGTCCGGCTCTTGCGAGAGCTTGGCCTTGACTTTGATAGGGGTCTAGCGTGGGCTGGGTGTGCGTGAGGTTTCCGAGGCTGAATAATGGGATTCCTTTGGGATGAATCGAAGGATGATGGGGGTTGCCTAAGAGACTAGTCATGATAGTCCTTGCAAGGGAGAAGCAAAGGGATGGATACTGTGGGAGAAGCTCTTGGTAGAGCGGGGGGAGCCAAGAGTGGCTGTTTTCAGGTGGCGCGCTGGGGGCTTAGCGTCGTGTGTTCTAGAAACTCGATCCCATGGATACAGAGGCGTCAGTGGTGTTTATGAGATGTGATAATTGAAGTATGGAAGCTAGGAAGATACGGAAGGAAGGGAAGAATGTTTAAGATGTGGTACAGTGGCTCTATGGAAACCGGCTAGATGCGGTAGATGGCGAATGTGATGGGGGGCGTTGAAGGAAGGGAAGATTGTAAGAAATGCTCGGTAATTGGATATATCCAAGCCAACGATGTACCTGTGGTAACTTTGCTAGTTGATGTAAGTTGATCGCTGGGACTTTGGTGAAGGAATCAAGACATGTGGCTTGATGGTGGAATCGACGTGTCAAGGAGGCAGAGTCGCAACACGTGGTGTACTGACAACGCTTCGAACTCTCTCTTATCTGATGTGATCTGGATGGATCACGTGAAATTGAGTAGATTGAGCGGGTTTGACCGAAGATGTAGTGAAGTTCTGGGCTACGTGAATCATTAACCCCTTGTAGGAGTTTTGAAAGGTTCAAGTCTCGTAGGTTGGGCGGTCCTAGGCGCCAAGTGATAATTCTTGTGGAAACATAAGGATGGTACTTGCATAATTTAACGCAAAGCATCCGGATAGTGGTAGGCTAGAGTATATGATTGAATGGGGTGCCCAGGCGCTCACCAGCTTGAGCAGTTTGTTGAAGCGATACGAGTCACATCTTTTGTTACCTCGACAAAGTATAAGTTCAGGACGTCTAAGCCTCAGTTACTGAACCGACTTGTTTGTACGAAAATTAGACACGACTGACAGCGGCACCGCAATGAAGTTTTCGATAATGACGTGCAACTGAAGTTCTACACCTTAACGAAATGGACTTTCGCTCTCTCAAGCAGTTCGTCCAGGGCGGCAATCTCCACGGTCAACCTGTATCGCGATCTGTGCTAACTCTCCTTCAGCAGTCAATTCTCAAGCAGCCCTTCCTCGAAGACGTGAGGCAGGACGTAATGCAGAAAAGTCTCTCTTGGGGAAGAGGTCCGCACCCCGCTGTGCAAAGCATCCTCTCTATTTTCAAGCATTACTCGCTGCCCCCTGAGTAAGGACAGCTGGTGCTTGATGCAATATCAGACCTCGGTTCGCAAGGTGTTGCACCGGCCGGGAATGGCGTTGCAATGGTAGTGCCAGTAAGTGTCATCGTGAGGAACTGAGATATCAAGGCATCAGTTTTAGTCCGGCGATAGACATGGAGTAAGAGAATGGACTCAGCGCTTACTACATGAGCGGGTCTCATGATATTGATCTGATGAAAAGAACTGAAGCGCCTTGGCTCTGAGAGGTAAACGATTGTCTGGTTTCACGACAGTGTATAGGCATTTGATTTCTGTTGGTTTGTTGCTAAGTCAAGCTGTCGCTTATATGTACTTCGCCAGGTCCAGGCTGGTAGTACATGGGCGGAACAAGACAATCCTTCAGTCACGCCTCGGAACCTCGCTCGACAATTATAATTAAGGACCGTATCTAGTGAAGTTCCGATCATAAGAGAAATTGAGTTGAACTTTCCCCAACAGACTTGGACTTACTCGGCATCAACCTGTAGAATTGTTGATCACGGAGACTTAAAGAGAGCGGTCGTGGTTCATCCCGCCGCTAAGCCGGGCGCTTTACCCTGTAGTACCAACACTCAAGATGAAGTCAGTTGCCCGGCTGGAGAGGAGGTTGGCCACCCGATCGCACTGGAGTTCTCTTTAGATTATTAGAGATTACGTATCCGATGGCCTCAAAGTACATGACTTGGAGCATGTTCTCCGGTGAGAGGAAGGCTGTGTAACTTTCTGAGAGACCTTCTGTTGCCTTCTGTTCCACTTTCGGGCGACTCAAATGCGGCTCAGCAGCACAGCCTCTATGCACCGCGAGAAAAGAGATATCATTAGGCCATCGATGAATACCTATTATGCTTTGGATTTACCACTGATGAGATTCCGTCAGACTTGAGAGATGCTCGGCGGTCCGTTGAGAAAGATGGGCTAAATCTTGGTTTTATTCAGAACTTCGGGTTTGATTGGGCTCATGGATGTTCTCAAGACAAATTCTTCGTCGAACTTGATTGTATTTTAACTCTCCTTGGTATCGTGTAGAACGTGCACTACGTCTTCTCGCAACACACCCTCCGTCTTATACGGCGGTGGACGACCCGGTCACCCGGACAGAATAGATGTCGGTCATCTTGCCATCAGGAATGAGATACACCGCGATAAAGAAACCATTTTCAAGTGAATGGATCCTGTTATCAACACTGCACGAAAATTAGAAAAAGCTGGATTTCCATCTTGATGTTGTCTTCAAAAATGGTTAGAAGTGCTTCTGTCTAAGCCGCAGTAAATAACTAGAATCCCTTTTCCGGACTACTAACATCAGGAAGAGGGAATACGATTCACCTTACATGAGACATTCAAGAGCATGTCAAGCTGAGAGACCTGAGACGAATCGGGCATGATTATGGCTACATGGAGGTTGCAGCCTCTAAAGTTAAGCAGTCTTGGTGAGGGGAATACCTGCTGCCACCGGTCTAATCACATTTACCAATGCCCGGATGTTGCTTACAAGTATCATCGTGATCCGACACCTCAGAAAATAATTCCTCATGCTATGGATCGGAATTACGACCGGACCTTCTCAAGGAACTCCTGACCAATTCTTCGTCATGACGTTAGCGGCTTTGTGGCTGCGGGTCAGACTCGGCATTTTCTTACGCTTACGGCCGAACACGCATGTGATATATCCGCTTACGTCCGTCTTCAGAAGTCAACTTCACCTCAGCACCATGGCAGTTCGTCTGGCCCATCCACTGCTCTTTCTTCCGCCATCAATCTGCTTGCAATTGCCGTCGGTCCGAGATCTTTGAACCGTTATCATCCGTTTAGACATGGAGCGACAAACCCGTCGACGGCGCAGACCCGCTCTGTCATGCCTAGAATGCAGGCGCCGAAAGATCAAGTGTGATCGCGACGAGCCTTGTGGGCATTGCACTACATCAAAACTCCGATGCACCTACCGAGTATTCGGAAGTGAACCGGCAGCTCGGCCACCGGTGCAACAAGCTTTTCAACCAATGCAGTCGACTCACATGATATCGCCCCTGTCACAGGCTCCGACCATTGTTCCGGCGCAAGAGTCTACCAACGATGCCAACGCCATCTCTGAGCCTGGACCGGCGCCTTACAGTCGTCGAGAGCACAGTATTGACGATGGTGTCAACGAGGATGTCGTCGTATCAGGAAACATAGCTCATACTTCAGCTGCTGAGCCCGCTCTCCGAGATCTCTTACACCGCGTCCGGAGATTGGAAGACGCATCTCCTGATACAGCACGACGAAGGCGATCTGAGATTCCCCAGCAAATGATGGGGAAGGATACAGATTCACGCGTGGTGTTGAAGAAGTCAAGGGTTTGGCGATGGAGTGACTGGATGGGCGAAGCTTCCGAGGTATGTTCTTTGGCTGTAAAGGCGACTGATGTGATGCCCACTGCTGACATCTGAATAGTTTGACAGATTGTTGGAATGCTACACCAGTTACGTCAAGGCTGCTGCAAACGAGAGTCATGCTCCATTTTCAGACGCTGAGACTGAGGCCATGGCCATAGAAGCCGGGACTTTACTACGGAACTGCAAAGACCTAGCGAGGAGCATCAAAAGTTGGCGTCCCAGCAGAAGCTTTGGCAACTCTGGAGTTAATCTTGCGGCCCCATCTCGCGAGGTAGCAGATACAATGGTAGATCATTACCTGGCTTCATTCGAATCAACTTACCGCATACTACACAAGCCGACTTTCAGGGCGGAATATCAGCGGTTTTGGGATGATCCAGCTAGCGTCAAAAACGATTTGCGGCTCAAGATACTCCTCGTCATTGCGATTGGGTCAAGTCTACATGATCCTGAAGATGTCGAGCCCGGATTTAAACGCCTGGCTCATCAGTGGATTTACGCTGCCCAGGCTTGGCTTTCTGGCCCTCTGGAAAAGGATCGATTGGGTATAAACGGCGTCCAGATTCACTGCTTGACTATATTGGCACGACATATACTATCGATTGGAGGCGATCTAGTGTGGATTTCCACGGGAACACTTCTACATACGGCCATGCAAATCGGCTTGCACCGTGATCCGAGCCACTTGTCGTCAATGTCAACGTTGCAAGCAGAGATCCGAAGAAGACTCTGGTCTACCATCTTGGAGCTGGTGATCCAGTCATCCCTAGATGCGGCAATGCCTCCTAGGATCTCCTTCGATGAGTTTGATGCTCAACCGCCTGCAAACATCAACGACGACGAACTAGAAGAGTCGCAATCGGAGCTACGATCACATCCGAGGAGCACTTACACGGATATGTCGCTACATCTTCAGCTCAGGGACTCTCTCCTGAGCCGGCTTCGAGTTGTTCAGTTGCTCAACGGGATACACCATGAGCTGTCTTACCACGTCGCACTAGAGTTGAGCTCGGAGATTACCCATGCCTGCAGAACCAATATCCACTTCGTGAGGCAACACGAGCGATCCGGAGTCTCAGTGTTCCACCAAAACTTGCTTGATTTCCTTGTGCGTCGCTTCCTGATTCCCTTGCACTGCCCGTTCGCGAGCCAGGCACAGACAAACCCCCTCTTCCAGTACTCGACGAAAGTGACATTGGACGCCACAATCACGATTATATCACCTGTACCAGACGATAAGTTCTCTCGTCTATTCAGAATCGCAGGAGGGATGTTCCGCGAAGGCTACAGGTACGCCCTTGCTACCGTCAGCCACGAGTACATCGCTCAAGCAGAGACGCAGCACCGCGATGGAACACTTCAACGCAATGTCCAACAGAGAGAATTCTTGAAGAAAACAATGTTGGAGTTGATAGAGATAGCGGCAGAGAGAGTCCAGTACGGAGGCGAGACGAACATCAAAGGTCACATGTTCCTCAAAATGATTGTGGCACAAATAGAAGCCATGGAAATGGGCATTCCGGGAGATTTGGAGATTGCGAAGAGCGCGAAAGAAAGTCTGGAATACTGCCACACCTTGCTCGAGGGACAGGCAAGCACTGTGAAGCCATGCTCGACGGCCGAGGCAGACTTTGGATCCTCTGGACTTGAACATGAACAGGGAGGCTTTGGATTTGATTGGGACTTTGACTTTTTTCTACCCGAAGGAGATTTTTAGAGTTAATAGAATCAAAAGTTTGCGGAATCTCCGCAAAATCCAAATTTGGGCAGTCTACATACTACTGATTTCTTTAGTGCTACAATTTGACTGCAACTAAATATTCATGTTACTTGTCACAGCCGTGTAACGGTCCCCATATCGAACCTTCGCCTGTGATTGAGAGCGCTTATGGCTCGATCCATCGGCATTAGCTGACATGTTGTCAAAGAAAGGGCGTTCGCAGTGGTTCGGCCGAGGCGGCCAAGACACGGACATAACAGCTTGTGCATACGGATATGAATTTTCATCACCTTGAATAATTGAACTACTTAAATGTAATGATAGAACCAAATAACATCTCTCCTAATATCGATTGATACATGATATCAAACATTTGACTCGAATTCCCCCCTACGCGTCACTATTTCGATACTCAATCACTACGTTCAACCCAACATGTCTTCGCCTTTGAAGATCCTTATCAGCGGCGGTGGAATCGCTGGAGGTTGTCTCGCCTTCTGGCTAGTCAAACTCGGCCATGACGTTACCGTGGTTGAATGGTTCCCTACTCTCCGCGCTACAGGACTCCAAATCGACCTCCGGGGACACGGCATTGAAGTCTTGAAGCGTATGGGCCTCGAAGAGGGATTCCGCGCCAAATCGGTTCCGGAGCAAGGCCTCCAGTTCGTCGACAGTTCCGGCCGGAGGCGAGGCCACTTCCCGATGAACCATTCGGGAACCGGAGTGCAAGACTTCACCTCCGAGTACGAGATCATGAGAGGAGATTTGTGTCGTCTCTTCTACGGTGCCACCAAGGGCCATGCCAAGTACATCTTTGGCACTTCCGTGGAAAGCTTCGAACAGAATAATGACGGCGTAGACGTTTGCTTCAAAGACGGTAAGACAGAACATTTCGACCTATTAGTCGGTGCCGACGGCCAAGGATCACGTACACGGAAGATGATGCTGAAGTCCGAAACCTCTGACGGCTTTTACCCGCTCAGGGGTATTCACGTCTCTTACTTCACAATTCCCCGACCGATAGAAAAGGGCGAAGAGTACTATTCGACGGCTTATTTCGCGACCAATAGTCGGATCGTAATGACTCGGCGACACAGCCCGGAAGCGATCCAGGCGTACACATTCTTCACATCGCATGATGAAGAGTTCCAGAATGCTCGGCGAACCCACGGAAAGGAAGTCAAGGATGTTGTCGCGAAGGCGTTCCAGGGCGCGGGATGGCGAGTGGATTACTTCCTGGACGCGATGATGGACTCCCAGGACTTTTACTGCGAGCAGATTGGCTTGGTTAAGATTGATCATTGGTCCGAGGGACATGTCACCCTTGTCGGAGACGCGGCGTACGGCCCATCTTCCATGACGGGTATGGGTACAACTTCGGCAATTGTTGGCGCGTACGTCTTGGCTGGAGAGATCGGTAAACACTGCGGACCCGTACGCGCCCAAGATGGCATTGAAACGGCTCTACACGAATACGAAAGAAAGATGCGGCCTTTCATGGACCAAGTGCAGGAAGGGATTACAGATGAAGCTTTAGTTTATAAGCTGTGGCCAACAGGACCGATTGGGCTGACAATCTTGTACTGGATTATTGGAATCGTCTCTTTCTTCCACATGAACCTTGGGAAGTGGGTTCTGAAGGAGAGTGCAGTGAGGTGGAACTTGCCGGACTACAAGGAGCTGCTGCTTTGACGAGAGTTGCCTCAAGATTTAGGAGGTAGAAGCGGGAAGTTAGCAGAGAACTTTTCAAATCTGTACAGTATTAAACGAAACCCAGCTCTGAAAAGATTTCCATGATTTTAACAGAATAGCTGATACGTGAGAATATGTACGGGCTTTCAGTATGTGAAGAGGCTTCCAGGCCCTCATGAAGTATTTACACAATGAATCAATAAGAGACAGTATCTGTACATGCATAATTGCTTGGCCATTTAATTGTTGAAGGTATGTGTGTGAATGTTGATAGTATCAACCTTCCATGTCTTGCCGTTGTCGGAAGTGGTCAGGCCAGACGAGTCAGCCTCGTTGAGACCGAGGGTCTTGCCGAAGGTATTATCGGCGGCGTTAAGTATGATGGTCGTACCCGTGTACTCTGTGAATGGCAAGGTTAGTGAACCATGAAGGGATTTAATCATGTACACACGGAGCACTTACTGTGAGCAACAACGGTGCCGACGCAAGCATCGTCTTGGCATTCAACGGCAGTACCCCAACCCTCGGCATTTCCAGAGCCTTTGTATTGTTAGATTTAATCTTAGTGCATTGGCATCACCCAAGTCTTTGGCCTTTACTTACTCGTCGAGAGAGTCGAGACCACCTTGCCGTTGAGAGAGACGGTCTGGTCATACTTGCCGGTGCTGTCATTATACTTGTCTGTATTGTGGAGTCAACTTGAATTCATGGTGCAACCCAAACCAGATAACTTACAGTGCATGGTGAGCTTGTCACCGGCAGAAGCAGGAACTTGCTTGCCTCCAAGCTGTTCTCCTTGAAGAGTGCTGGCCCAAGTGCACCACTGACCGACGCTCGCACCGCAGTTCCTATGGATTTGTCAGCTGATGGCTTTACTTTCTAATAGGATAGACAATTAATTACGCCTTGGGATCGCTGAAAGAGACAGCAAGAGCCTGGATAAGATCACCGCCGCTGGTGCCCATGCCGGGCCACAGAGCAAGACGATCCTTCTGGGGGCTCGGCACGGGAGGGAGAACGAGAGTCGTGGTCGCCTCACGGATCCAAGACTGAGTAGGACCGAGGGAGAATGCTGGTCCAAAGCCGACCTTGTCCTGAGCGCTCACCACATTGGCGGCGGCGAGGAGGGCAGCTGCAGCGACGTTACGCATGTGGACGGTTGTTTGGAGCGACTGACTGAACGTAGCAAGGGTATGCAGTCGAAAGAAAGAAAAAAAAAAAGATCAAAATCCGGGGTGAGGCAACAACAAGGGTTAATCCAGCGTCTTGGAAATGGAACAATGGACACAAGAAGCGCCAAGGGCTCTTGGCAACGGGCGTAGAGTTTATATGGAAGGCTCCTCAACGTTCTAGATTGCTTCAATTCATCTTGATTGATGCCCCCTTTACCCATCTGGCGTGTTTCTGCCGTACCCAGTGTTCCAATTAACCTGAATCCTACCCCAAAGGAACCAGTCACGAAACAGCCCAGTGGTGGACAAACAATTTCCGCGATGGGTTGTGAAGGCTGCGCCAGGATCCACGCGACCTTGCCAAATGGTTGAAGGAATAATCGAAGCGAGGTGCCCATTTTCATTCGGTAACCTCGATGGAGTCGACAAGGACAAGGCATCATGCTTACTGCCATCAACCTCTTGGGCCCTGCAACCTTAACCTTCCCAAAAGAGGGTTGCATTTTCTCGGAGCTATCACTAGCACGGCAAGATATTGAACCACTGAGCAAGAATGCAGTAGCACCAACAGAGAAGGGTGCAGGCGGCAGACAAGCATAGAAGGAAGTCCAGGACTTCAAGTGTAGACTCATCAATCGCGACAATGCAAGTGGAGTTTCATATTCAATGAGCCAGTTTTTCGGATCCCCTTCCAGTGTGAAGAGACAAGATTGGAGGCCCCTGTCTGAGGATCGTCAGTTGAACCATTGCTTGGCCCTGCGAGCCGCAACTAGATTGAAATCCCCACATCGCCTTGTTCAGAGTCGCGATTAGTGGTCGGGTAGACGGGTTTCGGCACTCGAGTGCCACAGTCTTCGACATTTTACTGAACTTGTTCGGTACTCCGAACCTGTAAATTCTTGTACTCATCGAAGGATTATGAACGAGGGTTTCGGCGACCAAAGTCGGACGCAACACACTTCAAGCGACGTCATGAATGCACTGCTGAAGACAGCGAGAGTGGCCTTGAATTGCCTTGAGCTTGAATATCTCGGAGTAGTTGAATTTCGGGCGGAAGTTCTTCACGTATCTTCACACGGCTTGCGATTCATCAGGGGATTTGGGGAGGGGCGTTTGTTGACCCCCCTGGCAAATTTTCTTGGGGTCCCTCTGACGGCATACCAATGGTGCGCTTGAAACGGTGTAGCCACTCAAGATTGTCTGCCGAGGTCTGGTTCCAAGGGTCGCCGCTAAAACCAGTCAGACTTCGATGAATGCTTACAAGAGAAGAAGGGGGCGAAACTTACTCTTCATAAACAATGAATCGCGCTTGGTGCTGGATTTCATGGTCTGACGGAACGTGACTGTTCGGGTTGTTGGGAGACATAGTTGCTGCGATCCAGCGTCGTAGCTCAAGAGCAAGCCATCGATTGAAATTGGAATCATTGAAGAACGCATAGTTTCGCTTGACTGTTGAGAACTGCGGGTGAGCGCTGCGGCCATCTGGACCAGTGCTCCCAGGTCTTTGCCAGTCCGGAGTATTCGAGACTATAGGAGACACGGGTGAAGCTTGGGCGACATTGCTTGCTGGAGAGGCGTCCTGAGTAGGAGGTTCTTGTAGTAATGGCGGGAGAACTTCACTCCCCGTATCCTGTAGCCAAGCGCGTTGATTCGGCATTGCTAGATTCCTCCACAGTCCTCTGTCAAAAGGAACACCTTGGAATTGAAATGGAATCGGGGGCTCAAAAGGTTCGTCTGCAGAGGCTCTTCCATCCATGAGGTCTCCGAGTCCCACTTGTTGAGAGTCTTTCTCGGAAAGTCGTAGTGGAGGTAGAGTGTTTAAACTTTCGTGTTGAAGAAGACGTGTTCTCAAGCGAAACGCGGTAAGCCAGCCAGTTGATGAGCTGATAAGATTGACTAGCCAATTAACAACCAAGTCGGCAGGAGACATTCCCCAACTCTTGCCTAGACGCGTGACTATCTTACAAGCCTCGTTCTGGAGTTCTTGGTTGTTGAGAACATTGGGTCCAAGTAGCCTGTGCTTATCAACAAAGGCATCGAGCTGCAATTCACAGGGACATTCATCAAACAGACTGCGCTTGCCTTTGATCTGAAGAACAGACATCATGCTTTCGGCTGGCGATCTTATCGGCC